CAGAGACTGAAAGATTGACAGACAGCTGCAGGCAAGACATTCTGCCTGACTTTGTGTAGGCCAGGTTGCCCAAACCTCAGGGCAGGGCTAAAAATGATGAAAGTGCTTTCAGCTAAAACCCAGAAAGACCTGCAATCTTTAGATCTCCAGCAGAGAGAGAGGTTAGTTGCTCTGATCTTGTTGGACCAAACCATGGTGAAAAGTGCAACAACGGATTTGCAGAGATGGACACACGCCTGTCCTTCACAACTGAAGTCTACAGTATGCTGCAAGACTGTGCACATAAACTGCTACTGTAGGACTTCCCAAGCTCCCAGTTTTGCCTGCTGTACTAAACAACCCCCAAACACTTGTTAAGTTATAGAGGGCACCGGAGCATCACAAGCAGGGAAAGTAATGGCTGTGTGAGGTTGTATGCCAGAAACCACTAGCTTCTTCAAAAGAAAGGCATACTACTTAGGGTGGAGGCTATTAGCTGCCAGTTGCAGCTAAAATAATGGTATTCTCTGAAGTGCAAAGTTCTGTGCTACTTGTCAGGAGATCTATGGCAAACACTGCTTTCTTGCTTCCCTTGCACCATGCAGGCCAGCAGTGGCAAGGGATGCGCTGCCGTCACCGCCGTCCGCTTGCTGATTTTGCCCCCGAGAGCAGTCCTTTGCCAGGAAAAACATTGGGATATTTCCATTTTAGGAAGTGAGCTGTTATTTCACTTTTTTGGCCAACATCGATTTACGCAATTTGATACTGGTAAGGGACTGAACCCTTTCACAACACTTTCTACTGTTCACAGGGCTTTTAATTATCAGCAGATCTCCCGGTGTCCTTTGCACTCAGTGATTTCTGCTAAGAGGCCAGCTTCTCAAAATAGCTGAAATGCTGGTGGATGTGTGGATCTGAACAGAATATGTTGAGGCATGACTCCAGGAGCTCCTCCTCCAACTATGCAATGATTTCTAAGTCTTGTAGACTTCTAATCAACGGTAGAAGAGAAGTAAAGCTAAGATGTGTTAGTTTTACTTCTATCACTGATTCCCATTATATTGCTACTTGCTAGCTACCTGAAAGTTCTGAGACAGACTATGTCCTTTCCCTTGGCCTGATCAAAGACACAGCAAGGTATGTCTCTTGTATCTGGAATAACTAAATCAGGCATAGGAAGGGGAAAGAAGAAAAGAGAGGCCACACAGATCCTTCACATTTGTCTCACAACCACACTTGTGAGCATCTATCCTGTAGTAACCATTCAACTCATGCATAAATAAAACACTTATGAGCATCTACCCTGTAGTAGCCATTCAACTCTTGCCTAAATAAAACAAGCTATCAAGTACAAATCCAGTTCTTCTCACTCAGTTCTTGATTCTACCTCTACTGCAAGTCTGGATCTCAGAACAGCACAGGAAGCTCATCAAAACGCCATAATTACTTGTTCCCAAATTGAGGTGTTTTCAAAACCACCTTTCCCTTTCTATTGCCTATAAGTATAAGCAAGTCGGGAAGAAAATATAAATCCTTGGGAGAAAAACTGCACTTTGGATGAGCCATTTTTCAAGGCTGTTCCAGAGAAATGAAACCTCGGACTGAACTGTTGTGGTTCAGGTCATAGCACGATACATCTTAACCCTCCAATTAAACACACACCAAAAATCATTCAGAAAGTCCCTGGCAAAACCAGAGAGAAAGTCTACATTTCTTGAACATCTTGAATAAGTCCTTCTCAACCAGTTTTACTTCCCTTGGAGTCAGCTGCTCTCAGTGTTACTGCTTCTGCAGTGGTTAGCTTTTGGCTATCTCCACTGAATTCAAGAATTTCCAAAGCAGAACCACGAAGCAATGAGCAGAACGCTGACAGATTTCTATCTGAACACAAAAATCACTCAAATTCCAAGAAATGCTATTCTACACACATGACTAATGCTACATTTTATCACTTTTCTCTTATTTTTTTTTTTTTCTTTTCAAACTGTTTTGTTTCTTTGCCTCCAATCAAGCTCCTGCCGCTGAAGACAATGGAAAGAATGGTTCAAAGTTGCTGGAGGAAAACCTGCATGGGGACAAGTTGTCTGAGCACTCACAGAAATCTACAGCACATACAAATGCATGCATACATGCGGAAAATAAAAGAAACATGATGCCATTTGGCTGCCTTTCTAGATTTCCCTTCTTCGCTGAAGATCAGAGCTGGCCGAAAGGGTCAAGGTAAAAGTTGCTCTTGAAGAGGTACAAATAGAAAGGCAGGCACAAATAGTGGTTCAGGAATAATTTTCTTCATAGATGGAGTGAACAATTCTTGCAAATAGAAGTGATTTACTGCTTTGAGTCATTTATTAGCTGGTAAGTGACAGGGCTTTTTTCTGAGCTATAAAGTTTATCGTTGCAGTAAGCAACTGCAGGGCATAGCATACAGAGGTGGCCCTTTGATAAGGGCACAAACCCTCCTGAGGGGTAGTAAAGAGCCCAAAGACAAGAGGGTGGATGTTGGGTTGACCACCATAGCAGCTCACATCTTTATAAACCACATGCATGAAACCACCAGGTCAAGGCCCTTGCATCTTAGCTGAGGAAGTATACACAGATTATGCATGCCAGATACCCAGTCCATTACACTTCTGCTTTGCCTTAAAATACTACTGCAGTGATGCATGGAAATTTCCCACCTTGCAGAGCCCCCAGCCACCTGTCAAGACAGAGGATGCTGTGGCACATGGCTCTGCTCTGCCTGGCTGCAACCCTGTACAGAGATGCATTAAGAACACAAAGCAAAGGGAGACTGCAACAAGGGTTTCTAGTGACAGATATGACTCACCAAAACCTGGCTTCACGCTAGTGGCTGGTATTAATAAACCAATCTCCTGAGGCATGTGCCTGGCAGTCCCTTCTTAGTGCCCTGGATTAATTGCCACTTGGTTCTGCCTCAGTCCTATTGGTGCATTGCCACTCTTTAACACAGGCCTCCAAAGGACAGCAGCACTGACAAGGCACAGTGTTGACGAGGCTGTTGGAGAAAAGCTGCTTTTCTTCCCCTTAATGAATATCCCAAGTCAGAAGGGATTCCATGGGATCACCGAGTCCAACACAGCACCACTCAAACCCAAAGCCTATTGCTGAGAACGGTGTCCCAATGCTCCCTGAGCTCCAGTATCAGGGCTGTGCCCACTGCCTTGGGAGCTGCTCCATGCCCACCATTCCTTGCCTCCATCTGAGCCTCCTGATGCAGCTCTGTGAGGTCACTCCATCAGTCTCCTCATCACAGAAAGGTCCAACAAGAGGACATGGCTTCCAGACTACAGAGACATCATAAGACTCATCACGTTGATGGGCAGATAGCCATAATGAGCTCCTGAAAGCTTGTGTTCAGCCTCAGTCCTGTAAGAAGGAAGACCAAAGGGAGCAGAACCTCAGAGATCAGGGCTGTCCTGAGGTAGGACATACACACTTGGCCCAAAGCACGCTCAAGACAACCGCTCTGATTTCTCCTTGAACGCATTAAAGTACAGAGCGGAAATATCTGGAGTTCAGCTGGGACGACACACAGCACAGCTGGGGACCCTAGAGAAATCTGAGGCTTTATGAACTTCTTCGAACACTTCCTTCTTTTCTGCCTTTTTTGCCCGCCAGTTCTATTTCTTTTTTTCCTAAGAAGTGCTTCTTTTCCCAGGGAGAGATATGAAGTTCTTGATTTAATAACCGTGGTGAGGGCTGCACTTTATAAGTAAATAGAGAGATGTGTGGTCACAGAAATAGGAAAAACCACGGGAAAAATACCTCCTCTCACTCTTCACGGTAGAGAATTGATCTTTAAAACCAAACTTTGCCTTCAAATACAATATTCCCCCAAATTTGCAAGCATCTAGGCACACAGCACTCTGCAGCCAGCAGAGAGAGAAGTGAGTCAGTTTGTCTGAAGATGGGTTGAAGGGACATGTATTTGAGCCAGATTCTTTCCCTGGGGAGGCAAACCCCACTTTGCACTTTTTTACATTTTGTCCCAATGTTACAATAATTTCCAAGCGACTTTTGCCTCTTTTTTTTTGCAATGTGCCCAGTGTCTCTGGGAGCCTTCTGGAAGAAAGGGCCTCAATCAGTGTAGACCATGAGTCAGTTGGAGGGAAGGGAGGCTCCATTGGAGCTGGGGATGCAGTTGGTTTGCACTTCTGTTCCTGAGTCTCAAAGAGCCACGGGCACAGAAATCTGTGCAGGAGCTGGAAATGGTGACCAGTTAGGTCCCCAGCCAAACCAGGATAAGATTTTTGCTCCATGAGTCTGATGACCACATCCAATAGCCAAGGGAGAAATTAAACAGGAATATCACTGATGATAGCCATGGAAACTGCTAGCAGAAGGCACAGAGCCAAAGAAAGGAGAGAGTTCCCACAGAGCATACACCATGTGCTATCTTCCTGTCAGCAACTATTTACTGGATATTCAACAGGCTGCGGCCAGGTTTTCCAATACACCCCTTCTCATCCCACAAGAACACTACAAGCTTCTCTTAATTCAGCCTCCCTAGGTAGAAATTGTAAGTTTAGGCTGCAAGGTAACAGTGGGCTTGAGGTTTTAGGGCACTTAGAATACATTTTACAAGGCTGATTGCCCACATGGTTGACATAGTGTCCATGTCAAGGTATTTCAATAACATCCAGCTTTTTCAAACAAAACCAAGTAACCCACCTTTTACTAAGGCATGTTTTTTTTCCTGCTAAAGCTGTCCCATTTTGATAGAGACCTGATAAAACAGAGAAGTGTCTTCTGCAAGGTCACTTCCAGACATTGGCAATGGGCAGGAGCAGCAGGCAGCATTACAGCTGTGCTCTGGGCTTGTGGCTATATGAAAGCACCTTTGCCAAGAGGTGAGCACATCTCTCCATCGCTGCTGGTGGCCCTTGCTCTGATGAGAAGCTCAAAGTTATTGAGCAACGAGAGATGGAGAAACAAACCACGAGGCTGGACGTGCCATCAGAAATAAAGTTTTCAGCTGCACTCAGCTTTCTTACCTCTGGTTTTCTGCTCTGTAAGAGTAGCAACAGTAAACACTTCCCACAGCATGGTGCATTAAGGGGAAATGTGGTCTTTGCTGTCGGGTTCAGATAGCTTGCCTTGCATGTAGCTACCCTCATCAGCCAAGGCAGACAGGCATCTTGGTGGTGCCGACCTGAAACTTGGACAGAAATACAGCTGGTGAAAACCTGGCAGAAGCAGGAAGCCCAGCCCAGTGGGTCAATTCCTGCCTGCTACCAAATATACAGGGCAGACATCCCAAAAGGCAGGCAACAGCTCCTCCAGAGAGGAACCTCACATGTGGGACTCCCGTATCAAATATGTGGGGCACAAGTATTCTGTCAGACACAAAATGTTCTGCACGCTGGAGTGATCCCAGTTAAGTGAAAGGGTGGGTGGAAAGTCAGCTAAAAGCACAGGGCCATGTGCAGATGAAAGTGATATCACTGATCTCTCTCTGGGAAAAAGGACAACAAAAAAAACCCAGCAGATTGTAAAACCAGAGGTTCCTTAGCTAAAGATAGCCTTGGTCTGCTGCTATCCAGGGCAAGCCTCTGCAAATCACCAGCAGCTCCTCCACAGCCAGGTACATACAAGCCTAAAGCATCAACTACTACATCAACCTATCACTTCCCTCTGCTTGTTTCAGCTCAGAGGGAACATCTCCTGGAGGTGCCATCTCCCCCCCTGGCTGGAGCAGCGCATTCAAGCTTGGGCACTGTGACAGATTTCTTAGGAGCTCATGGGTACTTGAGACAAATCTCACCCCGACTACAGGGAGATGTGAAAATAAATGTACATTAAGCTAGGAAGACCTTCACAGGGAGACCCAAGTGGCTTCATTTCCTGAGAAAGGCTCAGACTTCAAAGCCTGGAGAACACTCACAGAAAGTTTCCTATGCCAGTTAACAAGCAGGGAGTAGGAAATGCTTCCCCTAAGATACATCCAGCTGGGTTTTAATTTTTTTCCATGGAATGGCTCCTGCCCACTGCGCCGATCTCAGTGCCAGCAATGATTAGTACTGTCCTATCCTCTGTATTTCACTGTAAGTTATGGCTCTCCTGAGATACAGTAAGGGTGTATTAAAGATGTGGAATCTAAAATTCAGAAGTTCAGAAACAAAAAGACTTTGGGGACCAAACAGAAACACTGAAAATAGAAGTTCCGCGAGCCAACACAAACTCAATTTCTTGTTCCATATCCCTCCCATGCTTCTCTGCAACACTGAATGTGGGGGTCGAAGAAAGTCATTCATAAATTTGTGCAGGACTAAGCAAATTTGTTCTGTTTGGGAAAACAACAGAGCATTATCAAGAAAGCCAAACCGTTACTTTTGAACAATTTTTTTGGAACAATTTAGTGCCAATTTCCAGCCAATACTTTGATATTCCATTCGTGCATCTGCATTACCCTAAAAATCAGCAGATACACACAGAAATCCTCATCCACCCAACCCTTTCCCCAGGCTATATGCCCACTTGCTGGCCCTTGCCCCTGAAACCAGAGCTGTCCCTCTGCAAGAGCAGCTTGGAGATTTCCAACAGGCTAAGCAAATCACATCCTCCCACCCCTTGACCAATGATGCAGCACCAGAGACATGATGGAGAGCTACACAGACAAGGAAGTTCGCTGCTTACTTTGTCTCCTGGGAAAAGCATGGGTGGGAGCACCACATTCTGCCCTCTTGCCACCAGCAACCTAGTCCTGGCCATTTTGGTCAGATCCACAGCCTGCTGCCCCAGGCCATGGCTTGCTTGATCACTAGCCATAGCATTATGCATTATTCGTGGGAGGTTTTGCCCACAAAAATCAAATCTGTGTTAATCTTCCTAACGTATAAACAGAAAGCTATTCTTTTTCTCTTTCCAGAGTGGGAGGAAATAAAGCGATTTGGGCAACTAGCATTGCAGTCTGGCTGAATTTAATCCTGAAGGATAATACATACTGAACATTATTGCCAATTGTTCAGCCATTTTGGTTATATGAGAATAGTCTTAAGCACAGCAAGTAGCATTGTTCTAATATAGCAAAAATTGCCTGACAAAAGCTTGATGTGGTTACGTTAGTGACATGACTGCAGACGTGACCACAGTGCTGGGGGAATCATTAAGTTGAGTTTGCATATATCAATAGCAAAATGTGGCCTTGGGGATGAGCTGCTTCTCTGAGACAGCAGAAGACAGGAGAAAAAGGAAGGTTACTTACTGCAGGTCAGGGGGGTGTGGAAGCCAGCTGTAGGTGTTTTAAAGCCGTGTCCTCTTTTCCACTGGAGATGTTACCTCCCTGGTAGGTATTGCCCAATCCTCCAGCTGTGCCTCCAAAGTTTTCCTACTGGTAGAGGAGGTGAAGCTCTCACCAACTGCTTCCAGAACATCTCACTTCACCACGAGGCTACAGAGGGAATTAAATACCTTGGATTGCATTCAGAAGTTTTGCAGGAACCTTTAGAAACATTAAAACAAAAAAGAGTCCAGGCCTTACATATAGACTGACAAATTCCCCTCTGCTATGAATCCACAAGTGCCATACAGCACACCTGCGTGCTCTCTCAAAAGACTATCAGGTGAAAACAGATAGACTTGAGAAAGAACTTTGAGTTCTTTTAAATATGCTGAGTTTTTCTGCTGCTCAGACAAGAGGGTTTGTGTCACCGCCGCCTTCTCCAACACTGTACAACTCAAGTTCTCACTGGGTGGAAAGCATAAACTATGATATCTCACATTATAAATTGTTCCGTTACCAAAACGCTAACGTCGTGGAATCATTCAGGTTGGAAAAGACCTCTAAGACCCCCAATCCAACCCCAGCCCATCCCCACCATGCCCACTGCCCACTTCCCCCCCTCAGCGCCGCATCCCCATGGCCCTTGAACACCTCCAGGGATGGACTGGCTGTCACAGATCTCAAGGCCACTAAGAGGTTAAGTATGCTGGTTTGGGGTTTACTTCTTTTGATAGAAAATAAAGAAATACCAGCTGACCCTGGATAGATTTGGAAGCAGCAGAAAGATGTGGATCTTTGTGTAATCCATTAGATTTGTGTAATCCATTAGAACAAAGCAGCTCTTTCTGGTTCAAAGTGCATCCTCCAAAGTGAAAACCAGGCTTTTCATCAGCTTAAATTCTTCTTGGCTCTGACTAGGAGCTCCAAAGAGACTGAAACCTTATTTACTCCTGTCACTTGACCTCTTGTTTCTCCTGAGTTTCATTAACAGCATCCTGCTTGGATGAATTTGCTTTGAACAGCACATCAAAAATATTCATAGTGTAGGATTTAGAACTATATTTGGTTACAGGAACTTGTAACAAGAAACTTTTTTTCTTATTTCCCTAGAAAGCTCAAAGAATGCTGAAAGCTACTTAATGAATGGAACCAGCCTAACTCCAACACATGATAGGTGAGGTCTGAATAAAGCAGACCCCTGGCAAGCTGTGTGCTGTCCTAACAGGCTGTTTTCAGCCTGAGTAACTGCAATGTGACTAAGGGCTAAACCACGTTTTTCAGCCTGTAAACAAACTTAAAGGTGAATCCTAAGATCTCTTACAGTAACATTTTCTGTAGCACTCGATTTGCATCTAAAACGTCTAGAAAAAGCCAAGCCATCACAGAGTTTAAGCATCAGCCTGAAAGGTCCCCCGACTCCTGGATTTCCGTGGGAATCTGGAATTTAAACTGGGAAAGCCTAAGGCAGATTTCCTGGAATAAAGGAGTAGCTATTTAAAAGGCAATTAGAACACTTTGAAATCAGTAAACCCAAACAAATCACGCTGCAGGACAGTCTGTCTCCAATCACCATACATATAAATCTGTCCTGAAGCGTTAGCTGTGCTGTGATCTACTGAATAACACACCCTCATTACTAACATAGGACCAAGGCACACTCCAGGGCAGGCAGAAGTGGCAGCTTCAGCTTCAAGCCAGACTCCACTGCAGCAGATCTCTGCTCTGGCACACCATGAGTATCCAGGCATTGCAGTCTGGCAGTCCTGTCCTCCCTGCTTTACCCAGTTTCACCCAGGTGGACTAAAGAAGTTTGCTGGAGGGGGAAGTCAGGCAATCCTTTGGATGAGCTGAAGTGCTGGTCATGCATGTGATACAAAGATGCACTCCTCTACCTCAGTAGGACCATCCATGAGACAACCATCTCTTCAAGCATTTTGTCTCAGGTTTGATTTTAAGCCTAGAATAGTTCTGGCATGCTGCTGCCTCTGAGCAAAACTGAAGGTGGTGCACATATTCATCATCTCTTGGGATAGCCTTCTGAAAATACAAATACCTGGTGTAGGGAACCTGCTTTGGCAGGGGGGTTGGACTCGATGATCTCTGGAGGTCCCTTCCAACCCCTACAATTCTGTGATTCTGTGAATTCTGGATAGCATGGAGCAGTTGAGAAAATCTTATACAGGATCATATCGATTCACCTCCTGTGATGCTACAGGTGAAGACACCACAAGTTTCCAAAGGGAGGACAACTTCTGTTTCCTCAGTGCCACAATCTTTATATATCATGACAGAGGAGTTGCTACTAAAAGAGCTTTCCAGGTCATGTCATTATAAAACACTGGAATCTATGGAAACCTGCAGCAAGATGGAATGGGAAACTCAACTGGCACCTACTGGGGGCTCTGGTGCTATAATGTGGGAGTGCTGAGGCAGCTTTGTCTCTGTACAACTTTTGGAAAACAGTTCTCTCCTTTCCCACATCCCCCATATATAAGACAGTAGGATTAACAGAATCACACTTCATTGTTTTACATAATTACATTAGGACGGGGCTCTTTTTGCTCTATTCAGTGCTCAGCCTCAAGGAGTGTTGAAGCTCCATAGTGCCATAATAATCCAGATGCATCCAATAACTGGCATATGGGTGGTAATGTTAAATTACTGCAGGTTCTTGAGTAGCAGATTAAGCAGATCTTGCAATAGGCAGTGATGCATTGGAACAGGTTGCCCAAGGAGGCTGTGGATGCCCCATCCCTGCAGGCATTCAAGGCCAGGCTGGATGTGGCTCTGGGCAGCCTGGGCTGCTGGTTGGTGACCTGCACACAGCAGGGGTTAGAAGGAGATGATCATGTGGTCCTTTTCAACTCAGGCCATTCTAGGATTCCATGATAGACCAGCTGAGCTAGGGATGACGTATTCCATGGAGTATAAGGGTCTTGCTTCCTGTCTGGAGGCAAACTCTCGCTAAGCTCTGGAACACTTCTCAAAGGGACAGTGTGCATGTCACAAAGCAAGAGTCATTCCGCTGGCCTTGAGCCAGGTTTGCAGAGTACAAATTAAATCCAAGGCAAACCTTCGAGCACTTTGTGGAAAGGTTCCCACTGGCTCCATCAAGCTTTCATTGGAGTTTTCGAGCTGCAGCCAAAAACATTGCTTTCCCCAGGTCAGAGATGGGTTTGAGCAACAAGGTAACGCCTCTGTTACCCCCCGGCTGCAGGCAGAGGAAGTCCTAACCTTATTGGAGAGATACAGGAAGATACCCCAGCATGGCACGCAAGAAAACAGTCATGCAGATGGTATGCTGTTTTTGCCTTTGTCGTGCAAACACAAAGCATCTCCCCAAGTGCTTGACAGCTGGAAACAGCTGCACAGCTTCCTAAGGCTAAAGTGCTGGGAACCACTTCACTGTAATACTTCATAAAATACTACACCCTGGTCAGCTTTCTTGCACATGTATATAGATCTGTTTGCTCTACACGTTCTACACTGCAGAAATATTTTCTATTTCCTGGCACTCCTGGAAAACATTAAATGACCTCAGAGCATGACAGGCCAGATGCTCTTGCCCCGCTTGAGGGGAAAGAAAAAAAAACAAGAAAAAGCACCCAAATCTGTAACACCTGTTCCAAGTCATATGTCCAGCTCTGCCAGGGAGAGCCCAGCGGTCCAGAGGGACCCAGCTGCTCAGTGTGCACACAGACTGGCTTCAGGGACCTCCCTCTCCAAGCAGAGACTGCCCTGTGTTTTTTGCAAACGTACCTGGCTAACTGGTGCTGCGCAGCAATGCATGTCCAACGTACATTGGAGGAGCTCCCCTCAAGCTCAAGCGATGGCTTTGCGTGAAGTCCTACCCCATTTAACTGCTGGAGAACTGAGACAGAAAGGAGTTTAAAAGAGCCTCGTGGAAAAATCTCTGGCAGAGTGATGACTTGGATTGGCTGCCCAGACCTTTGTGCTATCTCTCTGCCTGACCCCCAGCACAACTCCTGCACTGGAGGCTGTCAAGAGAAGGATGCCAATAACACTGGGAAAACGTTTTCCTGCTGGAGAAGAAGAAAATAAAGGGTGGGGTAAGATGAGACTGACTATGAGGGATTTGGGGATTATTATTATTATTATAATCACTGTGGAGCTTCAGACTTTTTTTTGGTCTCTCTCCATTTTGAGCTTTGCAGATAGAAGAGAACTACAGCTATCACCTCTGAAAGTTTTCCCTGGCACTTCGGTTGCTGCTCTGCCTCTGACCCCTCTTGGAAGCAGAGCTGGGAAGAGAGGAGCCTGCAGCTGCATGCAGCCTCAGCCTGGCCAGGCATCTCCCCTTGCTGCTAACAGCACCCACCTGAAAGCAGGAACTTCCACAACTGCCAGGAGCCTTTGAGACCAACAGATCTGTAATTCTGGAGCTCAAGAGGATGACTAAAAATAAATAAGTAAATAAATAACTTAAGGGACCCTGTGTTTTCTTAGGTACTTTCTCCTGAAGGAGATTTGGGGTCTCAGCTTTCCCTGGGTCTCGAGGACAGGTCTTGGGAAGCTGAGTGCCTCTCTCTGTAAAAAAGGTAGGGGACCTGACCACAAAGGGTAGGGTGACTTTTAGTACAAATAGCTGGACTAGTTTCCTCTGCAAACAGTAAGCTCTCTAGGAGCAAAGATCTCTTTGCATTGTTCAGGTAAGACTGGGAGGGCTGGGTGCTATCTCTACATAAATACATAAAGGAATTTTACAGCAGAGCTAAGGCAGAGTCCTGCCAGATAGCAATGCCTGTCAGTTTCTGGTCGTTAGGATTAACATCAAGGCCTTGCTGCAGAGCTCTTTCACCTCAGGGACGTAACACGCATTCAGTCATCTCCCAGTAGCCACCCCCAGTTCTCCCAACAGCTGCACAGACAATAAAATACCCATAACCATGAGTCAAACAGCAATAATGGTTCAAAGTTTGATTTCCGATGTCATCTGGGGCTTTTTCTCAAGCCTGCTGACTGCCTGGGACTCTTCCCACCGACCTAAAAGGTCAGGGATTGGGCAAACACAACTAGTCAGGGACTGCATCCCTACTAGCTGCTGACAGCCAGCTACTATGACTTGAGTTGATGCAGCAGCACTGTTCACACGGCTTTGCTGAGCCCCACTCCCCTGTGAAACAGGCTGCCTTTAGGGGAAGAGGTCTCCACTCATTCAAGCTGTTCCTTAATGTGCTTCCTGGGACAAGGCACAGATA